GTATTCCAGCATTCCAGTTGATACGTACATGCCTCACGACAACGCAACATTAGCGATTAATAGACATGACATAGCTGCTTATTGGCATCGCATCACGATTACAATTGCTGCCTAACAAAAGACGTAATAAAGGATTTAGGATTATCCTCGAAGCTAATTTCATCTTCTTTAGATAGTTCCCTCGGAATATTTTATATTTGTATCGTATAAGTGAAAACAATTTGTCTCGATGAGAAAGTCTTTCATAGATTTACTGAACGAGCCAGGTTACAAATAAATATCAATGCAATTCGCATTTTACTTCGTTTCGCTGGAATGAAATTGCAGCAATGTATCGTTATTAATGATACCACTAATCAATAATATTAAGCAAATATAAGAGGAAGTAATTTATTTCATGAATTTTATTTATCCTTTTAGGTGAATTGCTGCAGTGTTTGTGCAAATTCTTACTAATTATACAGTACGCAAGTTTAAATATTGATACTTGCTTTCTCTTTTAAGTTCGAAAATATCTTTCATTTTCACGTAATTTTCTTTTATTTATAAATCCCAAATGCTCTGCATTACATGTTTCCTTTTACCTTTTATAAAGAGATGAATAAAATAAAGATAATGGACAATTACCCTGGCAACTTAACAAAATTGATTGCTAATTTATTCATAAATTAATTAATAAAAGAATGAAAACGAAACTAACAGTGGATTTAATTCTTCATTGAGAGTTAAACTGTGGAAAAGCAATTTCGTAGCACCTGTCTTTCAAGCAGGTTTCTTTCTGTACCTGCATTCCAGAGAAAGTTAACCGCCATGATTTGGCACGCAATCGAGGCACACATACAAGCTTATTTGTATTTATCTGTGTGGATGTATTTGTATACGCACTTACACGTGAAGAGGTTTCCAAAAACTGCGCGTATAAATAAACAAAAGAAAAGTTCAATTTCGTAAAAATGAATGCATACAATTTCCTAATAAAAATATATCAATTTTAGATATATGCAAATTTTTCATTATTGGCCGACGATACGTGTCCGAAAATATTATATCAGTCAAAGTCAATGATATGTCCAAAAGCATTAATTTTGATCACATCATATCTCTGCTAGTTTTCAAATAACAAAAAAAAAAAAAAAA